CAGTCACCAGCATACACCTGATGTGTGGTGAGGGTGGGGAGGGGTGTGTGTGTGGTGAGGGTAGGAGGTGTGAGGGTAGGAGGTGTGTGTGTGGTGAGGGTAGGAGTGTGTGTGTGGTGAGGGTAGAGGGGGTGTGTGGTGGGAGGGGTGGGGAGTGTGTGTGTAGGAGGTGTGTGTGTGGGGAGGGGTGTAGGAGGTGTGTGTGTGGTGGGAGGGTAGGGAGGTGTGTGTGTGTGTGTGGGTAGGGGTAGGGAGTGTGTGTGTGGTGAGGGTAGGAGGTGTGTGTGGTGAGGGGAGGTGTGTGTGTGGGGAGGGTAGGAGGTGTGTGTGTGTGGTGGGAGGGGTAGGGGGTGTGTGGTGGGAGGGGTAGGAGGTGTGTGTGTGTGTGTGGTGAGGGTAGGAGGTGTGTGTGTGTGTGTGGTGAGGGTAGGAGGTGTGTGTGTGTAGGTGTGTGTGGGTGAGGGTAGGAGGTGTGTGTGTGGTGGAGGGTAGGAGTGTGTGTGTGGTGAGGGTAGGAGTGTGTGTGTGTGTGTGGTGTGAGGGTAGGAGGTGTGTGTGGGGGGAGGGTAGGGAGGTGTGTGTGTGTGGTGAGGGTAGGAGGTGTGTGTGGGTGAGGGTAGGAGTGTGTGTGTGGGGAGGTAGGAGGTGTGTGTGGTGAGGGTAGGGAGGTGTGTGGGGAGGGGTAGGGAGGTGTGGGAGGGGTAGGGAGGGGTGGTGAGGGTAGGAGGTGTGTGTGTGGTGAGGGTAGGAGGTGTGTGGTGAGGGTGGGAGGTGTGTGGTGAGGGTGAGGAGAGTGTGTGGTGGTGAGGGTAGAGAGTGTGTGTGTGGTGAGGGTAGGGAGGTGTGTGGTGAGGGTAGGAGAGTGTGTGTGGTGGAGGGTAGGAGGTATCACAATACTAGGTTGAGGTAGGTGACTTTGTACAGCACTGCTGTCGTCACCACTGTCACGTCATCACTTCAGGGTGTCCAATGTGTTGAGGAGGTGAGGCCAGACAGACAGCGTGGACTACAATAGGTGTGCCTCATAGTGATATAATGGACTATTTTGAGGGTAGTAGTAGCTGATGGTGAGGCACACACACACACATACACACACACACACACACACACACACATCATAACTCAGGTATTTTAACAGCGTGATCGCCTACAACAATGTAGTCATTATGTGTTGCACTCCCTCCCTCACCAGGTAGATATTCTCCCTCCACCACCAGGTACTCCTCGTCACACTATTATGGCAGACATGTCGCCGTTTTTTATCTTTCTGATTTATTTTCCTGACGGTGTGTGTGTGTGTGTGTGTGTGTGTGTGTGTGTGTGTGTGTGTGTGGTAACGTCATGGTTGTTTTGTATAGTGATGATGTTTGTTGTTTGTCCTGATAACTGTCCTTGATAACTGTCCGTCGGATTCTCATCAGAGGACCAGTAGTTAAGGGGAGGGGAGAGGGCCTCCATCACCCCTCCTCCTTATGTTTATTTATTCAGGATGAACAAGACAGCTGTTGTGATGGTGGTCTTTTGAAAGTGGGGTTACGGTGGTGGTCTTGGCGAGGGTTATGGTGGTGGTCTTTGGCAGAGTGGTTATGGTGGTGGTCTTAAGGAGTGGTGGTGGTGGTGGTCTTATGAGTAATTTGGTGGTGGATGGTGGTGTCTTTATGAGTGGTTATGGTAGGTCTTTAAGGAGTGGTTGTGTGGTATTCCTGGCGAGTGGTTGTGGTGGTGGTGGCTTTATGGGGTTGTGGTGGTGGCCCTTGGCGAGTGGTTGTAGGGTGGTCTTTATGAGGCTGGTGGTGGTCTTATGAGTGGTTGGTGGTGGTGGTGATGGTGGTAGTCTTTGGCTAGTGTTGTGGTGGTGATAGTGGTGGTCCTTAAGAGTGGTGATGGTGGTGGTCTTTAAGGAGTGGTTATGGTGGTGATGGTGGTGGTCTGGCGAGTGCTGGTGGTGATGGTGGTGGTCTTTATGAGTGGTTATGGTGGTGATAGGGTGGTCTTTGCTATGAAGTTGTGGTGGTGATAGTGGTCTTTATGGTATGGTATGCGATGGTGGTATTTTTAAGAGTGGTATGTGATGGTGGTGGTTCCTAGGAGTGGTTGGTGGTGGTGGTCTTTGGTGAGTGGGTTATGGCGAGGTGGTGGTCTTCTTGGAGTGGTTATGGTGGGGAGGTGGTGGTCTTATGAGGGTTGTGGTAGACAGTGGGTTGTCTTTTGGTAGAGTGGTTGGTGGTGGTGGCCTTTATGAGTGTGGAGTGTGGTGGTGGTCTTAAGAGTGTTAAGGTGGTATCTTAAGGAGGGTGATGGTGGTGGCTTGGCGAGGTTGTATGGTGTTCTTGGGAGTGGTTGGTGGTGGTGATGGTGGTGGTCTCATGAGTGGTTATGGTGGTGGTCTTTGGCGGAGTGGTTATGGTGGTGGTCTTTTTGAGGGTTGGTGGTAGTGGTGTTTGTGATAGTGATGATGTTGGTGGAGGTTGGCGTCTGGCAGAGGGCTGTGAGACAGGACCTGTTATAGAAACCTTGCAAGTTGTTACCTGCCTACCTACCTGTCTGTCACCCAGTCAGTCAGGAGAGGTGAGCTTGCTGGTGGTGGATCACATGACCTCCTGCTGTTACTCCTCCATCCCGCCCTCCACCAGGAAGACACACTACCCACCCAACCCACCCACCCACCCACACCCACACGCCCAACGCAGTACATTAGGGAGTAGCGTTAGTTTGAGTCTAGGTCAAGTCTCAAGTCACCTCAGAGCTGAACACAGGTAATATCCCCCCCTCACCCTCTCACAAGATAATTAACCTAACATAAACAAACAAGAATTAAACAAATAAACCTTCAGGTATTATATGATTATTCTACTTTTTTTTCGCCTGGTTGTCTGATTCTATTAACCAAGAATTAACGAACGACCCTTTAGAGATGAACCCTGAGAGTACGGTGTATGTCCCCCTGTTCTGCCCCTCCTGGCCTGTCTGCCCTGTCCTGCCACGCCCTGCACCCTGCCACGCCCTGCCTACTCCTGGCCACGCCCTGCTTCCCATCACCCTGCCACGCCCCTGTCCCATCTCCTGCCCCCTGCCCCTGCCCTGCCCTGCCCTTGTTTCTGCTCCCCACTGACACACACACACTTGGCTATGAACCACTAGAGAGAGTTAACCATGCAGCTGACTGAGGATCGAGACAGGAGGTGGTGGTGGGCAGTGAGGGGTGAAGGAGACTGTACTGTGGAGGGCACTGTACCGTGAGGATGATCACCGTGGAGGATGACTGTACTGCAAGAGGATGACTGTACTGGAGTGATGACTGTACTGTGGAGGATGACCGTACTGTGGAGGATGACTGTACTGTGGAGGATGACTGTACTGTGGATATGACTGTACCGTGGAGGATGACTGTAGATGCTGGAGGTGTGTGTGATAGACGGACGCCCGTGTGTGACATATGGTATCATGGGGCCCCATCAAGCGTCACACCTCCTTCCCCCCACTCCCCATCTTCCTCCTTCCCTCCATCCATCTCACCCACTCACCCAACTATCATCCCATCCCTCCACCACTCCTCCCCCCTCTTCTCCCTCCCCCTCCCTCCTTCTGCCACAGGCACCAACGCCACACCTCATCTCCACTAACAGTAGCTACACCAGCCCACTTGAGGGTGTGGGTGTGGCCCACCATTATAGTGACCACACCCACCCTGGCTTTTTCGGTGTTATTTGTCCCCCCAAGCCTCCTGTCACTTTTTCCAACCTGTCACGTTTGTCCTCTGCAATATCCTACCTGACACACCCACCCACCCACACACTCACCACCCACCCACCCACCCACAACCCACCCACCCACACCTACTCCACCTTCCACCCACCCACACCTACCCACCCACACTATGATGTTTATTAATTAGGTAGAGGGCGGGCGTGGTTGGCGTAGGAGGATGTGGAGGGGCAGGAGGAGCTGAGGATAGTTAGTGACCGCAGGAGAATAGGTGCCTCATGGTCTCTGCCCTACTGACTTACTACTGTAGAAGGTGAGCTTGGCTGTCTCTGGGTCACTGTGTGTAGGATCACCTGAAGATCAGCTCTCTCAGCTTACTTCAGCTACCTGGGGTTAGATTGTTAGTTTGGTTGTTATGTTGTTAGATTTAGTTACAAGACTAGCGAGGTCATCTTAAAACTGTATCTGCGCTTGGAGACCTCACCTGATTACGCAGTTCAGTTCTGGTCAATGTATTACAGGATGGATATAGAATCCTTGGAAAGAATTCAGAGGAGAATGCACAAGACTAATCCCGGCATTAGGAACCTTGAGTACAGAGACAGGTTAGCAATACGTAACTGAACGAAGTAATACTGA